AGGCGAGGGTGGAGGGTCATCCAGCAGCAATAAGAAAAATAGCTGAACAAAGGGAGGATGAACTCCTCGGAGCCAACGGCCAAACCATGCTTAGTTTAAGGAATAGGGTTAGTTATGCATCATTATATTTGTATTCTTATGTTAAGCGCATAGAGGTCTCTATGATATGCGCTCTATAAGTCGACCATTATTATTATTAAGTGCAAGCTAAGAAACTTTACTTTATAAATTAAATTTTAAAATGTATTGTTCATTAGACATAAGTATATTTCTAGAAAATAATTCCTTGTTCAAGATTGCAGATGATTCTAATAATTTGTGTATGAGATTTTGACCTGTAAATTATACAGAATGACATTACTTCCTTTATTATTTTTTTCTTGTTCATGATGTTCATGTGTAATCCTATTTTGTAAATTAAAAATTGATAACATTACTGTATTTTATATAAATATATTTCTAGAAACTGTTGTTTCTTATCCGAGATTGGTCAAATCCCAAAGAATACCACTTTGGCAGAGATGGTGGCATGAAACGCCTCAAAAAATGCATGGTTAGTTGTAATTTTTAACTATGGGGTTTTGAGTGTGATCCCAAGAAGAGCTACCGGTCAATAGACAAATTTGTGATTTTGTTATAGAAAGAATATTCATCCAAATTGATGGTACCCATAGAAGGACAATGAAACAGTATTTGTACACCGACTTACCTAAAAACAAACATTGACACCATCAGGATTTAAACATACTTCTTACAAACCTCTTTCAAAGTTTATTATTGTTCTATTTGAAGTTTCATTTAGCATTAGCATTAGAATTGCTCAAACTATTATTATCTTTTTTTGTATGTTATGATTCTTCTTTATGATTTATCTATTCATTCATTTACTTATTTGTAAGATTCATTGGTAGGTTAGTTAATTCATTCATTCGTCCATTTAATCAACCAATCCATAAAGAAATTTATTCATTTATTCATTCATTTAATTAATTAATTCATTGATTCACTTACTAATTTCTTTATTCATTCATTTTTTTAACATTTTATTTGATGATTTCTTGATTAATTGTTTTTATTATAGGAAATATCCCCAAACCAAAGTAAAGAAAATGTAGATTTACGTAAATCCATTCATCAGGTGTTTGATACTATAATGTGTTTTCTTATGCCTCGCCCAGGAGATGAAATTGTTGAGGGTGAGAGCAGTGGGAAATTTAAAGGTAAGCAAGAGTATGTAAAACGTTAACCCCTTGCTTAGAAGTAGCTACTAGGATCTTGATTGTATTACAATTTAAACAACGATATAAAAAGACTTAGATTAAGGCTATTGAAAACAAATAAGTTACGTACAAAAACAGCAACATCAAATAAAAAGGAAACATTTAAAGCAATAGAGATGCAACATTATAATTTATTTAGTAAAACATTAAATATCTTGAAGAAACTTAATTGATATGGTTCCATCTGGTGGTGAAAAAAACTGCAGTAATTCTACAAAAAAAAAGTTAATTCATGAGTACTAAATAATTAAGGTAATGATAATCATAATGATAATATTAGCAATAATTATGGTACTTAATAACAATAACGAAAAGGCTAATAATGAAAATTTGCACTTACAATCTTAAATGTGATATGATCAATCATTTTTAGACATTGGTAACAGATTTCAAGTGCAGATGAAGGAATTGGTGCAGCTTCTGTTTTTAGCAGATGTGCCCGAACTCAAAAGAATTGATGGAAAAGACATTACATGTGAAAGCCTATTCCATTATGTTAAGGTATTATCTGGCTATCAAATTTAAGCTTAATTAATGTTACAAAAACTTTAATTTTATAATGAAATCTATAATATTCTTTATCTGCATTACAGAGGTACATTAAGGATATCACTGAAGGAAACATGTTTGAAATCACATGCATAGCTGAGGTGAGAACATTTGGAATTTATTTCATAACCAACGCCGACGTGACATATTAAGTATTTTAAGGACCCCCTATTATAAGGCCTTTTAGATTTAGATATTTTTGACCTGTGTGATATATATATATATTTAATTTAATTTAATTAATAATTAACAAAGAAAATTAAAAGGCAGCACTCTGAAACTTAGATGTTATTTATTCAACACAAGCTTTCGCTGGCAGTTAATGTCAGTTTCATCAGGTGTGTGAAGTAAAAAATTGAAAACAAAATTGAAAAGAGTTTATGCATACATAATTAGCAACAGCACAATTAACCAATTAGCATGCAGTCGGATACAATGTAGTATACAATGATCAGAGATAACAAGTGTAATCAAGCAACTTACTATTCTACTAATAAACAGAGCTAGGCAGATAAATTATCTGTGCAGTCATGGAGCTATGAACAATGGAGTTAGTATAACAAACTACGTCTTATCATCTTATAGTGGCTGAAGCCTACATCTATATTGAGGCCAATATTAATGCTATTAAATTTATGAATAAATGTTTGTTCGGCATTTAATCTGTCATTTCTGTTTTTAAAGCAATTTCTTAGAAGCACAGCTACTTTAAAGTGTGTAATATTATGTCCTGGTAAATTGAAATGAATTGCTGTTGTGACGAATGTCAAATTTATGACCTTATCCGTTGTCTGACAGTTTGGCAAGTTTCTCCTATGTAAATAGTACCAGGACATTTAGTGCATGTAATGGCATAGATGGCGTTAGATGAAAAACATGAAAACGATCCACTGATTTCGTACAGTATATAACTTGATTAGGCCCTGTAATGGTACTGCTAGTGTTGCTATGTGGGCAAAAATCGGCATTTCTGTTGGTTACATGGAATGGTGCCCTTAGTGGTGGGGGTGTGGGGTACTTTGTTAGAAGTAAGCTATTGTTTGAGGTTGGGTGGTTGTTTGTCCGCAAGCATAGGTTTGTTAGGTATGGTTTTATGAAGTACAGGGTCACTATGCTATCTAGTATAGATCGTTGATAATGTGTTGTAATGGTTTAACGAGTGGATTTGACGATAAGTGGGACACGATGATCGGTCTCCTTCTTTCTGTGGGTCATGAGATTTTCTCGTGCTATCCTAGTGGCTTTAGAGATTTGTTCATTAACAAGTTTGGAATTGTAGTGCAGGTTGTTGAATGAATTACGGAGGTGGTTGAGTTGCTGTTCCCTATCAATAGTGTTAAAGCAGATACGATGATGTCTAAGGGCTTGGCTATAAACTATAGATTTGGTTGTGTGTGGTGGATGAAAGCTAAATGGACTAAGATAAGTATTTCTGTCTGTAGGTTTATGGTAGATAGATGTGGCTATGTTACCATTGTTGATCTTAACTGTGACATCAAGAAAATTGACATGAGTGTGTGTGTTCGAGTCTGAGTTTAATTTTGGGTTGGAGTCGTTGAGTGCCTGATGGAAAACCTTTATTAATAATTAATAATTAGACGAAAACAATGGAAATTGTTCTCATTTTTAAATAGTAGCTTTAATTTTTTTAAACCAATTACCTTCTTTAATTGATTTGATATGCATCAATACAATTATCATTCAACATTGAATTGAGGTACATTTGGTCAGACGCTGTCACCTAAGTTTGATATGTATCCCTCGTTGTAACTATTACCATACATATGAATTTGTAAGCGCTCTTTAATAATAATTAAAAGATCTATTTTTCATCTTTCTAATGAGATGAAATGAAACGAGATAGATTTATGTTTTATCCCGTTGGATTTGGAACTACATTGGATTTCTAGCGTAGAAAGCAGATTTTTTACCTTTCACGGCTCATGTTACCAAATTCTAATCAGAATAACGCAAAGTATTTGACTAATCGGTTTCTTTCTCTCTGTAAGTTGATCTTTATTCTTTCTACCATACTTGTTGTAAAAATGGTTGTGATTAGTCAATATTTAGCTCCGTCACTTTTGGAAACCAATAGAATCAAGCCTTCCAAACACCATTGACTGTATTGTATGCAGGCGCTTGTTTCAGCGTAATAATTTTTCTCCGGCGACTGATGCGAAGACTGGAGTGTGCCTGGTGTTTGTTTGATAAGTTAGACCCTTACTATTGCTCTTTTTACTTCATGAAATATATGAATGGAAAGCTTATGATCAGTAGATTCTCATCATGGTAATATAATTAGGTTTGCAGTTATAATTTTGCTTCCCTCAAAATTCACATGTTACAGTGAAATGAATGCAAGCGTTCGCCGGTTCACTACGTAGCCTATACATCACGCGCTGAACTCGCACAGGAAATATTGAATGATACGCGCTAGAAAGCAAGAATTAATCTGTTCTGTTAGGTGCTGTTTTGGCCCTTACAAATTCATATGGTATACCAAAATATCTTTATTTTAGAAAAAAAAACGTTACACAAAATTCGATTGCAGTCAGAAACGTGATTGTGAAAGTGGGTCTAGGCATTTAAAAAAGAAATAATTAAATAGTTGGACAGGCTTTCATTCCAACATCCAGGCATTAACTGCCATTCTTAAGAAATCTTTGTCTTCATTCATTTTATTCGACTGGTATTATTTTCATTCAACTGGTTTGTAACTACGCAGCCATTTTGATTTGTTAAGTATTTACCAGCTTTCTATTCAACTGCTCGTTAGGTAAGATTTTACCACTGCGCAGGTGGGCGTGGTTTAACGAAGAACGACCAGTCGAATATGGCCATTGATCAAACTATTTTTGGCTGTTTTAATTCAGTTCACTATCAAAGTAAAAATTCACTAGAAAAGACTGAAGAAAATGCACCTATCACTTTTGTCTTCAAATTACCATTATGTTGGCACATTTTCTTTGTAAGAAATCCGTGTCTTATCAAATGAATTTTGAATGATATAATTTTAAAAATCGTTTTTCCTCATTGAAAAATAAAAATTTCTTTTCAGTTAAAGATCCCCTCCCTGTAGGCCTTCGCTCGCGAGTTGTATATAAATGTGTATATGCAGGCTGTGTATTTTCTTAACGTAGGATATTTTGGTAAAATTCTATGAATTCATAATCATCCTTATAGAACGTAATTTGCGCATGCGCTGTTTTCATGCCTGTGTCAGCCTCAGTGATCAGCTGTTCTGTGCATCGCGAGCAAGCGAGTAACCTAGAGTTCGATTTTGATAGAACAACACACGACGTACCATTCGCTTTTATGGCCTCGAGATTCAGCCTTTGTATGGGGCTTGTATTTGAACCAATGCAAGAATAAAAAAAAGTGATTGATAGTAGATTCTGAAGTTTAATACATTTACAGTCAGTCTAAAAATACTAAATACTATTAAATTAAGAGACAGCTATTAAATAGTTGTTCAATTAACGAATGATAACAGGACTAGGAAACTCGACGCTGACATTAGGCCCAACAATTTAGATATTATTACATCTTGTATTATTATATGATACCAAGACATTGGTGTGAATATTAATCACATAAAAATGTTAAAAAGCAAACTATTCGCGTCTGTCATTTTATAGTCCTTTTAAATATATCGATGTTGTTGCCTCAAACGCACGACATCATAGTATTTTAAGCATCTATTTTGTTTACAAAATCGCTTTAATTGGGTTAATTGTTCACTGCGCTTTTGATAATGTTTTTTGAATTGGCGCGTTATAAATTTCTGTATATTATTATTATTATTATTATTATTATTATTATTATTTTATTATTATTATTATTAACAAGAATACAGGACAATTACAAATTAAATTCGCTCACAACACATCATACCCTAGTAGCCAGACGAGGTTGTGTATGCACTTTGAGGTCCAGAGAATTTGACTTCAGAAATTGGTTTAAGGTGGACTAAGAATCATTTTTGGCTTGGTAACACATTTTCAAAATGTGGTGAAAGGGCAAAAGGTCAGAATCAAATGTTATAGCTATAAGGTCGTCATATCTCCGCAACCATGCTGGTGGTAGAGAGTTAATTTTGGTGTCTATTTGTTCAGAATACTACAAAATGACCGGAAAAGCCGTTTCTAACCTTTGACATGTTCAAGGTTGTAGCCATATGGTGATCATATCTCCGCAACCACTGGTGAGAGTTAATTGTCGTGTCAATTTGTTCGAAACAATTATGTTTATATTTGTTCCAACAAAAACTTTGTTACAAAATGACCGGAAATGCCGTTTTTGACCTTTGACATGCTTCAAATGTCATAGTTAACTGAGTCCTTATTATCTCCACAACCGCTGTGGTGGAGAGTTAATTTTGATGCCAATTCGTTAATTTTACTAAAATATGACCGGAAAAGCTGTTTGACATGTTTCAAAGTCATAGCCATAGAATCCATATATCTCCACAACCACTGGCGGTAGAGAGTTAATTTTGGTACCAATTTGTTCGGAATATTCATGTTTCTATTTGGAATAATAGAAAAGTTTGCTAAACAAATGACCGGAAATGCTTCAATGTTTGACATGTTTCAATGCATATGCCTATCATACTGTCTGTAGAGACTTGATAGTGATCTCAAATTATTCATTTACACATGTTTCTGTTTATTGGATTGGACAATTTTAAAAACAAATATGCCGATATGACCATTGACCCATGTACACAAGGTTTAGTATGGACTAATTTTATTTTCAAGAAATATAATAAATCAGATCAAATTAAGTTGGTCTAATTGAATATATGATACAAAAATGACCTGAAGTACACCTCCGACTAAGAGTTAAATAGACTTGTGTCTCTGTAACTTCAATACTGCTAATATAGTATAATAATATCAATTAAAGCAAATAGGCATTTCATATCTGTAACTACTAGATGTAGACACTAATCAATTTGACACTAAATACTATATATATATGTATATATATATATATATATATATATATATATATATATATATATATATATATTGTTGGTATAATGCGAACTATATATATATATATATATATATATATATATCAAAAAAGACAGCTTTCAAAATCCGTTGAGGTCTGTGCTGCACGATGTGTTATTATGTCCTGTACACTATATATATATATATATATATATATATATATAACACGTTATAAAGGAATTCCTTGTGAACACTGGTTGCCAAGATATAAGAACTCTATTGTCAACACCAGCCGCATGTGATAAATGCCTTTTAACATAGGTGAATGGTCAGTATCGCCATATTTGTTTTAACAATCAAGTTTCTACAGTATAGGGATATTAGTATATGCATTGAAACATGTCAAGGGTCAGAACGGCTTTTTCAGTCATATTTTAGTGAAATGTTCTGTTAGAGCAAATAGAAACATGAGTATTCCGAACAAATTAACACCAAAATTAACTCTCTACCACCAGTGGTTGTGAAGATAATAATGACTAAATAACTAGACAATTGAAAAATTTGTCAAAAATAAAAAAACAGCATTTCCGATCATTTTCTAGCAAACTTTTCTATTAGACCAAATAGAAATATTAATGTTCCAAACATATTGACACCACAATTTACTCTTTACCACCAGGGGTTGCAGAGATGCAATAACCCTATTG